ACTGAACTCTTCGGATAAAGCTGCGCATCGTAAGATGTTCCAACAGATTTAATAAAAGCCAGAATTATGATTGTGCCCGTGGCGTATTAACACGTGCGCTCAAACCAGAGTTATTGACTGCATTGACGGATCGTTCCTCTAAACGGCCAGTCGCCTCCAGCAGGATTTCCTAGCACAGTGATGTAGCGGCGGCAGGACATTAATTAGCCTCTGATGGTGTGTGTGAAGCGTTTCTCAGACTGTCGAGTCACACACACGGCTTTATGAGCTCTGTCTTTAACTACTGTTTCCCCTTCAGCTGTAACTGTGTGTTCTGAATGCTAACTTCACCTTTTCTCCTGCTGGATTCACACTTTCTTGGTGACTTTCTTCATTAATATGCAAACGCTGTTGAAGGTTGTGCTGCTAAAGGGGATGTTGATGCGTAAGATAACAGATCAATCCTGCCCCAGATTCATGTCTAATTCACCTCATTGTATGAATAATAATGATATGCTTCATGTGTTTAAAGACGTACAGTGGTTCACACTAAAGTGGCTGTTCTCTTGTTAATCACTCTCCTTTGTGCTCTGTAAAAAACAGCGTAAACAGAGTCATCTACAGTCCAAGGGCTAAAAGTCAAGTCAACTCAAAAACAGCTGTGCAGCAAGTTCCCTTACAATAAGCTCTTTATTCTTTACAGTGTGTCAGTCCAAACCTGTATGTGCTTTCAGTCATCTTCAAAACACAAACGAGGAGATTTTAGATGAAATGCTGGAGCTCTCTGACCCTCCATATACAGCAAGGCTCCTGAAATATTCAAAGAAAAGACCAAAAAACATCCTCAGAACAGTCCATGTGTCTTCACTGGATCAGATGTAACTTTACCAAGCTACCAAGACACTTTTGTGCACAAAAAATAAAAATGAAAGACCAGGGGTGTTCAAACTCAGTCCTGAAGGGCCGGTGTCCTGCAGATTTTAGCTCCAGCTTGCCTCAACACACCTGCACAGAGGTTTCTACAAAGCCTAGTGAGAGCTTGATTTGCTAGCCCAGGTGTGTCTGATTGGGGTTGGAACTGAACTTTGCAGGACACTGGCCCTCCAGGACTGAGTTTGGACACCCTTGTGTTAGACAGCTATCATATAAACTACAGCAGGGGTCACCAATCTTGTTCCTGGAGGTCCGGTGCCCTGCAGGGTTTAGCTCCAACTTGCCTCAACACATCTGCCTGGAGGTGTGTCCCAAATTGCACACTTACACACTATTCTACGCCATTGTGTAGTATAAATAGTGTAAGTAGTGCGTTCACACTGAAAACTAGAATAACAGGGATTGAATTTCTGCTTAGTAAAAATTTCCAGTCAGTTGGTGTTTCTGTGTGGAGTTTGCATGTTCTCCATGTGTTTGCGTGAGTTTGCTCCGGTTTCCCCCACAGTCCAAACACATGCGGTACAGGTGAATTGGGTGGGCTAAATTATCTGTAGTGTATGAGTGTGTGTGTGAATGTGTGTGTGGATGTTTCCCAGACATGGGTTGCGGCTGGAAGGGCATCCGCTGCGTAAAAACTTGCTGGATAAGTTGGTGGTTCATTCCGCTGTGTATAAAGGGACTAAGCCGACAAGAAAATGAATGAATGAAAAAAACCATTAGTGTTCCATTTGGGCTGACACTACATTTATACACTATACTGTTGAGTGTGTAAGTGCATAAGTACATAGTGCATAGTGTGCCATTTGGGACGCAGCCTGGGTGTTTCAAGTCTATCTAGTAAGACCTTGCTCGTGTAGTAAGTCATGCTCGGAACAGAATTAAGCCTTCATGTGAATGAATCGCAAACAAAATCAATGCAAATGTGCCAATACAGGCGAGTCATTGGCATGTGGTGACCATGACGAGGAAAACCCAAAGCTTTTGATTCAAACATGCGAAACTCTCCTCAGTCAGGTCTACACTGTCAAGACAAATAATTGAACTGGAGTGAAAAATTGGCGTAGTGTGAACCCAGTGTTAGTAAACATGTCTGAAGATTTCCACAGAGGATGACACATACTTATATACTTACTAATCTTACCTGTATATGGAGCTGATTATACAGATGTCACCAATATTCAGTGGATACGGAGAGTATTCAGACCTCCTTACATGTTTCACTGTTAGTTCTCTTGCAGCCGTTTCATTACAGCTCATTTGTGTCCTCATGAATGTCCACACAGCTCCCCATGCTGACAGAAAAGCACAGAGCTGTGGACATATCTGCAGATTTATTCAGAATACAGGAACTGAAATATCACATGGTCGTCAGTGTTCAGAGCCTTTCCTCAGCAGAAGCCCCCTTTGGATCTAATACAGCCGTGAGGCTTTTGGGGAAAGATGCAGAGGTTTTTCACACCTCTATTTGGGGATCCTCTGCTGTTCCTCCTTGCAGATCCTCTCCAGTTCTGTCAGGTTGGATGGTGAACATTGGTGGACAGCCATTTTTAGGTGTCTCCAGAGATGCTCAATTGGGTTTATGTCAAGGTTCTGGCTGGGCCATTCAAGAACAGTGACAGAGTTGTTATAAAGCCACTCCTCTGTTATTTTAGCTGTGTGCTTAGGCTCATTGACTTGTTGGAGGTAAACCTTCAGCCCAGTCTGAGGTCCTGAGCCTTTTGGAGAAGGTTTTCATCTCGGATGTCCCTGTACTTGGCTGCATTCATCTTTCCCTCGATTGCAACCAGTCGTCCTGTCCCTGCAGCTGACAAACACCCCCACTGCATGATGCTGCCACCACTCTGCTCCACTGTTGGGCCTGTGTTGGACAGGTGATGAGCAGTGCCTGCTTTTCTCCACAAAGACTTGGAATTAAGGCCAAAAAAGTTCTGGTCTCATCAGACCAAAGATCTAATTTCTCACCATCTTGGAGTGCTTCAGGTGTTTTTAGCAAACACTATGCAGGTTTTCTTGTGTCTGGCCACAGTCATAAAGCCCTGGCTGGTGGAGGCTGCAGTGATGGTTGACTTTCTACAACTTTCTCCCGACTGCTGCATCTCTGGAGCTCAGTGGTCTTTAGGTTCTTCTTTGCCTCTCTCACAAAGGTTATCCCCCTCACCAGTAGCTCAGTTTAGCTGGACGGCCTGCTCTAGGAAGGGTTCTGGCCATCCCAAGCATCTTCCATTTAAGGATTATGGAGGTCACTGGGCTCTTAGGAACCTTCGGTTTGTAAGCATGGCCAGATCCGTGCCCCGTCACACTCTGTCTCTGAGCTCTTCAGGCAGTTCCTCTGACCTCATGATTGTCATTTGCTCTGACATGCAACGTGAGCTGTAAGGTCTTCTATAGACAGGGGGGTGGCTTTCCTGATCAAGTCCAGTCAGTATAATCAAACACAGCTGGACCCAAATGAAGGTGTAGAAGCATCTCAAGGGTGATCGGAAGAAATGGAGCGAAAGATGTGTCACGCCAAAGGGTCTGAATACTGAGGACTATGTGATCAAATCTGCAGAGATGTCAACAGTTCTGTGTTTGTCTGTCAGTATGGGCTGCTGTGTGGACATTCATGAGGAAGAAACACTGAACTGAAATGATTTCAGCAAATGGCTGCAATTTAACTTACAATACGTCCCAAACCCTCGTATATTCAATGCAGTTTAAGTAATAAGTTCTGTTTTGCAGTAGAGATATTAAATGAGAGGCTTACTTTGTTGACCAAACAAGTGGATCTAACTAGATTTGCATTGTCAACCTTAAATCAAAGTTCAAAAGCTAATCTTTTTTATTTTGTGATAAGTGTTTAGTTACTGATAGCAAAAGCTGCCTGTAGATTCTGTCAATTCAATTCCTCTTTACCTCTCTAGCGCTTCTCCACATCACAGCAGCTGAACACAGAAGCTCTAGTAAACTGAAGCGGTGTCAGTCCAGTGTTCAGAGCTGAAGATCAGTTCAGTGTGCTTTAATCTTCACTGCCTAGAGTCCAAACACTGAAGAGCAGATCCATCCATGCACACACGTATGACTGTTTTGGTGATGTTCCTTGGAGCTTTTCGGGATCCTTACAGTCTATGGAGAGTCAGAGAGCTCCAGCTGTGTTCTGAAGATGAATGAAAGGTGGTACAGGTTTGGATCAACATGAGGATGTGTGATTAATAACAGAATGCTCATTTTTGGGTGATCTGTCCCTCCCTCCTGCACTAAACCATAGTTGTGCTCCATCAAAGGTGTTGACACTAAACCTGAGCAACATGATGTCAGCTGTACTCTAATGAAAACTGTTCAGCTTGTAGACTCTCCTCAGTTATGGAGAAATCAGCCTTTTGTTATTCATGATGTGAGATTTCCCTGCAACAGCCTTATGGGTGATAATCTTGAAAGATTTGCTCAGTGTTTTGGGAGGGAGTCTTGCGGGACAGTAATTTGAAAATATCACCTTCGGTGTCCCGGGGTGAGAGTGGGAAGTTCTGCATATAGATCCTCATCATTAGTGAGCTTGACATGGCAGCGGGGAGCGGGGATTATGAGCTTTATGAGCTCCGGGAAAACCTGCACTGAATGATGAATTCACAAACACTTTACCTCTGAAACATTGGCTGACATTTGTGCATCACTATCCCAGAACAATCTTACACAGCTTTCTTTTTGTAATTTTTTTTTTCATGCAAAAATCACGCGGCCAATTTGTTGATGTAAGTGACCTGTACTACGTGGTTTTGCTCTCTTATTAAACTTGAGTGGAGGTTAGCCCACAGCTAGCGATAGCATTAGCAGGTCTGTATAGTAAACATAGAACTGTTGTCTAGGAATTGTCTAGCTTTAGCTTTGGTTAAGCACATGCTTAAGATTTAACATGATTGATTGTGTTAATCTAACCCTATAATGTCTAATTGTGTAGCATTGTAGCCTAGCCTAGGTGCATAGACTTGATTGTAACTAGAAGCTACTTTAGAACTAACCTCATGAAGTCTAATGATGGTTCTTCTCTCTCTCTTGTGCGCCGGTTTGTTTGGTGTCTCACTAACACCGTGCCCTTCTCTCTTTCGTCCTAGGAGGTGAACTAGTGTTGCCAATTATAACTGTGGATTCCCTTGAGCCCCCATCGATTGCAACACGTTACCCCGTTATCCCCCCGCCCCCAACCTATCGCCCCTTCCTCACCTTGCTTGAGACAACCAAAGAGTCTGTCCCCCTCCCCGGGCGGCACCCCTGTCCGCTCGACCAGGAGGACTGCGAGGAGCCCATGGAGGTCTCGGCCTATGGTTCGGGCGAGATGACGGAGTCTGATGATGAGGATTACTATAAAAACTCACCCCTTGTCACTGACCGGACCGTACTCCCACCTCCGCCTGGGGCCGGGAACCCTCGAGGTGACCGGCCCTTTGCACGTTTACCCAATTCCCACCGGCCACCGCTCCCCCTGACCCCCACAGCACCCCCAGTGTCCCGGCTCAAACCGGGCATCAATGCGCCCAACATCCCCGCGGGTAAAATGAACACTCGAGATCAGGTGCTGCTGCCGCCTGCTCAGCCCTCGGGCGACACTGATCACAGCGGGCGGCATCGACACATCCCAGGTATAACATATCCCCCTAATTTCCCCCATGTGCCCACTACAGACCCCTCATCGCCGGACCGAGGGCCGCCTGGAGCCGTGGAGGTGATCCGAGAGTCCAGCAGTACCACGGGTATGGTGGTGGGCATCGTGGCAGCGGCTGCCCTCTGCATCCTCATCCTGCTGTACGCCATGTACAAGTACCGCAACCGCGACGAAGGCTCCTACCAGGTGGACCAGAGCCGCAATTACATTAGCAATTCAGCCACGCAAAGCAATGGCGCCCTAGTGAAGGAGAAACAGCCCGGCGCTGCCAAGACGGGCACCAAGAGCAAGAAAAACAAAGACAAGGAGTATTACGTCTGAGCACGGCCCCTAGGGGGACCCGAGGGGAGAAGGAGAGAGATAGGATGAGGACTGGAAAGGAGCAGTTTCACGTTTAGAGTCTTTTTTAATTTCCCATCTGGTCTAGCCGTCGGCCTCATTTCCAGAGCTAAAGAGTGCGAGAGTGAGTGTGTCGAGGGTTCGGGAACTCTCATTTCCATTTTTGATAGCTAATGCCTGTCGCACTAACCTTTTGTACTGAAGAGCAGTGGACTTTATCCTCACTCCTAATTCGTTTTTTTGTAAATACTACGTGAGTCCTCAATATTCAGGTCATCTCCTAGCCTGACAGGCTGTTTTGCGCCGTCCGTCGCTGCTCCGTCAGAGCGTTGAATGCACTTGAGAACGGTTTGGGAATGAGAGCCGCTTGGCTGCGGTGGCGTTTGAGGAGCAGATGGTGGCGAAAGCGTTTAGCAGTCACACTATTCTCCGTAATACTGCCAAACCAGCTCTGTGTCAAATCCGTCCGTCCGTCCGTCCGTCTCCCTCTCTTTCCAAGTGCTTCACGTTTCCATCCCTCTCTTTCTCTCTGTCCCCCGCACACCCTTTCTTGGCTTGTTCTCTCTTTTTCTCCTTGTCCTTGGTGCTCAGGAGCAGATGCAACGTAATTCTGTTGTGTTTCCAGCATGTGGTATTCAAAACGAAAAGAGACAAACACTGTTTCTGTGGAGTCAAATTAATAATTATATATAAATATATATCAAGCCGTTAGCCGAACATCAGTGGTGATCCCTTCAGAACTCTCCGAGTCGCCACACGTTCCAGCAGATCTTGGTGTTTCTGAGGGTCCCCCAGGGCTCGGTCCTGGGCCCGCTGAGGGTCTGGCGTTCTGCTGGAATGAACCTGAAACACGAGCCCAACAGCAGTAGATATATTCACAGAGATATTTGATAAGATTAAAGGACACGACTGCTCAAACATCACGTCAACACACCGCACCAGTGGACAACACCTGAGCAGGAGCTTTGTTATTTTTACTTTCTTTTCTATATGTGTGTGTGTGTGTGTGTGTGTGTGTGTGTGTACGTTCTTTCTTTAGTTTGTCACAATGTCAAAGGGAAAAGACAGCACTGTTCCAGTTAATGTCGGGACCGTGAACTCTCCTGCGTCTCTCAGGATGTGACCGTAGGTATGAACTGCGCATTCAAGAAGCTCTGGCCTGATCCTCGGAAACAGAAGATGTTGAACTCTAGTAATCTGATTTTCTCGACTCTATTAAAAGAACTAAACTCTGAAAAGAAAATGTTTAAATACGTTTGTGAAATGTCTAAATATTTGAATCTCATCCCAGTGCTAAAAGAGATGTGTTTTTCCTAATAATCATCCCTACCAATAAAAGAAGACGACGTGAGAAAGCGAATGCAAAGAATCAGACTCCAGAAAGCAGACGCTCCTCTTCAACACAGAGGAGACCATGTGATTTACTTTACCAGAGAGCGGTTTAGCAGCGTTCATCCTCTGATTTGGCATCTGTATGTGTGTGTGTGTGTATCTGCGTGCGCAACTGTGTGTGTGTGCGAATGAGCGTCCATCATTTGCGTTCCTGTCCAGGTCGTCTGCTGCGTTTCTCCCCAGATCCTTGTTCTTTCTAAATGTTATTGTAGAGTGTTCCAGTGAGATGAATCTGCATTGGTGTATATTAACAGAAGGGAATACAGTTGGTTATATACTTCTTACACCTGGTGTCGTGTGCTTATTGAACATTCACACTTCTCTTCCAGAATAGTCTTTCTCACTTCAGCTCTGCGAGAGTGTAAAACACAGAGTATTTATAGTCATTCAGCTGAAACACACACAGGCTTCATTCACATGCTGATCAAAGAAGCTCTCGCTGTCATGTTTAGATGACCGTGTTTCAGCAGTCACTCATTTTGATTATTGTATACTTCATTTGTTGACTAATCTGTTGAATCAACTAACAAAAAAATCTAGACTTCAAGCCAGTCATGAGGGTCTAATTAAATTAAGTAATTAATGCATCATTTGAAAGCAGAATTAATAATCTTTCCATTGATGTGTGGACAATATTTGCTGCTGACGACTGTGAAATATTCATTTATATGAGCAATATCACGAGTAGCA